TTAGGGTTTAGGGTTTACGGTGGTTGGTGATATTGAAGTTTGTCGGCCAGCTGTCACGGAGTCTCTCGCTGATCGCTCCAGAGTATACCTCATACTCTAGCTGCTGCAATATCCTGGTTCTCACGGACACTTCGTGTGGAACCGTTTATGCCAGAGTTCCCTAGCTCCCTGCACTGCCAACTTCTTGACCAGTAACGTCGTATGAACAAAGAAGCCATCCCGCATTTAGGGGTTCGGGGTTTAGAACTTGTGGGTTCTGGGTGTTGGGCTGAAGGGTGATGTAGCCCTAAACCCTAAAGCCTAAACCCTAAAGCCAAGATTGTCGTACCGAGCCAGGAGCACCCAAACCCACAACGCATTCTTGGCCTTGTATGCTACATGTCTGAACTCCGGCATCTCGTCTAAACCCTACGGACCCCAACACCCACGCCGTATACCCGAAACCCGAAACCGTAGAGCCTAGCTCCCAAACCCCAAATCCCTGGTGTGCCTGTGCAGGAGGATGGTCCTCCCCCGGCCAAGGTGCCCCGAGTAACGCGACCTGTGCAGCTCGGACACGGAGGACGATTTAGGCTTTAGGGCTTAGGCTTCAAACCCTGAATTCAACGTGTTCCTTGCGATTTAGGAAAGGATTCCTTGGCTTAGTGTTCATGGCTGGGCTCCCTCACTTACAAACCCTAAACCCTAATCGCCCTAATCTAATAACCCTTAACTCCAGCAGACCCACAACCTGGATAAAAACCCAAGTCCTAAGCACTTAGAGCTCTAGCGGTATGTTTTGGTATTATGCTATTCTGTAGCCGTAGTTATTTGCTGATTTGTGTACCAAGGTCCTGTATCCTGAAGACTTCCCCTAACCTGAGACGCCCAAGGATATGGAAGCCGCGGTCACTGAATTTGAAGCCGACGGAGGCGGCCAAGGTCGCGCGGGGTTTGCCTTGACCCGCCAAACACCGCCAACACCTCTCACTTTAAGGAATGATGATAAGGAAATCGTAATCAGGAACCCAGGAACCCGAGGCATGTCGGTCTCTTAGGATTCAGGTAGGGTTAGAGTTAAAGCCAAATGCCTCACTCTCACTCTCACACACACACACTCTCTCTCTCTCTCTCTCTCTCTTACTTTCTTTCTGTAACTGGCGTCTCTGTCTAAGTGGGTACCGGCAGATCATACCTGGTGAGAGAGAGAGAGAGAGAGGCAAAAAGACAAGCAGAGACGACGAGAGAAGTAGAGGGAGGGAGAGAACGAGAGAACAAGAGAGAAAGAAAGAGAGGCAGATAGAGCGGGAGAGAGAGAGAAGTAGAGAACAAAAAGCTGTTGAAACAGAGAGAGGGGAGAGAGCGAGAGAGAGAGACAGAGAGAAAGTGAGTGAGGCTCCCCTTCCCACTTCACTGTCGGACCTGGCAGAGGATTGATTTGGGGCTCGGAGCATGCTGTAGGCTTTGGCCATTTTCTTCTTAATGCTATGCTTCTCCCAACCAAACCAACTGCACAAGTCTGCTCAACTCTCACAAAACCCCAAACCCAAACTCCGAAGCCTTCACCCAAAATCCCTAAACCCCAAACCCAAGACTCCAAAACCCTAAACGCCGAACCTTAAACCAACCCTGGCCCCTAGTTCCTTGCGAGGCTGCCCAAGTTCCTTCGGCACGGGGAATCTATCAACGCGCAGCTCCTTAGCAACAAAATGTCATTATGGCAAAAGATTTGAGATAACCGTTCTGTTCCTTATAGTGTATGGGTAGTCCGTAAGATCCTTACTGTCACTCTATAAGAAAGGTATATACAAGCTAATCATACTCCGGCTCCCCAAACCACAGCTAATTCAAAGCTCATCTATCCCGGCCCGGAAATACAGGACTCCAGGGTTTAGATCCGCTTTGCGGTTTTTTGGATTTGAGGTTTTGGGTTTTAGGGGTTTAGAGGTTCGGGGTTTACCGATGATCAGCAAAGCATCCAACCGAAGATGGGTACATGGATCGTACCTGAATTTCGCTAGCTAGTGTAGGAACTCTAAATTCAATCCCCGCAGTAACCCCACACACCAAGTCCTAGACTTCAAGCCGGGTAGATCACGACCTAACACCTATGAAAGGCTATGTTTCCACATGCTTTTGGGGTCCAGGTAAACCCTATAGACCCCTCAACCCTATAAACACTATAAACCCTATAAACCCTAGAAACCCCTAAACCCCAACCCCGGGGGCTTAAAAACCCCCTCTACTAATTCCTACACCTTGACCTCTGAAGACGCATCGGTGGATCAGTCGACATTTCTCTTCTGGCCACGAGGATGCAATGCGGATGAAGCCGAAGGTGCCCCGGCCCCCTGTGTGGCTTTGGGTTGAGATGGTACGACTCAGATTGAAGAGCTGAGCTGTAACGAAGTAACACTGAAACATATCCTGAGGGATGTCAAGTTAGGGTCTCGTTTCTTTTGGTGTTTTGGTTGAGGAGTTTCTCTGTTGACTGGAGCTGTAGTCAAACTATACACAAAACATGAAACTAAATCGACTGTGTTCCTTGCCTGCCGCATCTTCATCGTCTTTGTGGGTGGTTCTCTAAATTTAGCGTCCTTTTTATAGGGCGCAGGGGACCTGCCTTAGAGAACTTTCGTTGTTGGCCGGCTGGCTCCATTTCAGTTGTACCTACCCTCCCCTGAGACGTCAACCGCAGTTGAAGCTAGAAGCAACCATGGAAACAGACAAGAACACCAAGAAACGAACCAACGAACACGCCAACAAACGACAACAGCACAACACAAGCAGACAAACCCACAACCAATCAAACATAGCTACATACATGCATGCATGCTTACGTACATGCATACGTGCATGCATACGTGCATACATACGTACATACATGCATACACACATACGTACATACATGCATGCATACATACATACATACATGCCTGCATACATACCTAGGTAGGTACATAGATACAGAGGTACATCGATACATAAACAAACAGAAGACAGACCGACAGACAGGCAGGCAGCGTCACCTAGACTTTTCAGGAATCCCGATTGTAAAGATCCCTCTTCAAGCTGCCCCTCTTTTCAAGAAGCGGCCGACATCAATAAAGGCAACTTCACATCCGCTATGAAGCCCCTCGATGCCATGCAACTCTTGAAAAGCCCACAAGCCCTAAACCCACAGAAACCCTTAACCCCTAAACCCCTAAATCCTAAACCCCTAAACCCCTAAACCCCTAAGCCCCTAAACCCCTAAACCCTAAACCGAAGCACCAAGAAGAGCGAGGTCGAGCCGGAGGAGCCTGAAGAGAGGACCGTGCCTGACCAGGAGGCACCCAACCCTGGCGCTTATTGGGTTTAGGGTTTAGGGTTTAGGGAGGAGGCGGCGCTTATTGCTTCGGGAGTTGAGACTTTGCGTTTTGTTGAGTCGAGGCGGTGGTTTCGGGGGTTAGGGTTTATGATGGTTTAGCGGCTACATGGGTTGAGAGTTTTGGTCTTTTAGAGTAGAGAGGGTGGTTTCGGGGTTAGGGTTTAGGATGGTTTAGGGCTAAACGGGTTGAGAGTTCTGGTGTGTTAGAGTAGAGGGGTCGGTTTCGGGGTTAGGATTCAGGGCTAACTGGGATTTGATGGTTTGGCGGTTTGAGAGTCTTACCGTCTTGGGTTAAGTTTAGCTTTAAGGGTTTCGGAGTCTTCTGTTTGTAAGGCTTTAAAGCTTTTGAGCTACTATTTCAATAAAATAAAATATAATATGACATAATACAATATTCAATATAGTATAATAGAATATAATATAATATACTATAATGTAAAATAACATACTGAGAAGTTTTTGGAGGTGTCGGAACTGAGGCCCTCGAGGTTTTAGAGGGCTTGGAGTTGTGGCACATGGAGGGTTTTGGGGTTAAGGCTTTAGGGTTCAAGGTTTAGGGTTTAGGGTTTTGAGGTTTAGGGTTTTGGGTTTTGAGGTTTAGGTCTTATAGGTTTGAGGAATCTGCACTGGTCGTCTTGGTAGCTTCGGTAGTGTCAGTCAGTGGTGGTAGACTCTTCGTCGACGCCGCTGTCGTTTTCATACACTTACACGCCTCACCCAGTGTTCTCGACAGTCTTGAGGGCGTTAGGGGTAGGTGATCCAACTCGTTGTTAAGAGCCCCAAACCGTCACATGCAGCTTCGCATCCGGAGCCCTCACTCAAAAGCGAGTTCCTGAAACCTCTGAACCCTGATCTCCGACTCCCCGAGGCACATACCGAACAGCCCTCGGAAGAGACATCCGGGCACGCGAATGGCGTGCCTTGCTGTCGTGTTCGCAGATGTGAAGGGTTTGCAGGTCCTAAACCACTATATCCCACTGTAAGTCCTGCAGTCTTGAACTTTCAATCTCGAGGCCTAAGCCCTTAGACCATAAACCCTAAACATAAACACTTTTTGAGTTTGCAGGTGCGAAGGGAACTTAGTGAGCAGGCTATGGAAATCATCCAAAAAGGGTGTAAGATTTCAGGGCACGGGCCTTCTTGTACACTCCACATGAGCAGATTCTTGTTGCTGATACGAATTAGCCCAGGAACAGACGATGAGGATTCTTTCTGCAATATCGCTACCAGATTTCCGCCTTCAGACTGCCATTCGACAGTGTCAAACGGACACGATCTAGACAAACCTGGCTTTACATCTTGCTATCCTGAGTACATGCACCCCCCCCTCCCCGACCTTTACAGGCTAGACTTTTTTGCTTGATTCGCACAGGGGTCCTGGAAGTCTGTGGTTCTAGGTGCATTGGCAATAGTCCAGAAGTAGTGGTAGCAGTAGAATGAACTTAGCTGCTTCAGCAGCAAAGGTAGTCGTCTTCGTTGTCGTCATCCTAGGATCAGTGCTGCCAAACGGAAGGCAAATCTAGCACTTCAGGCCATGACTCCCCGCATCGCATGCTTCTCAAGAATGTTTGCTAATTAGACTAACCTATCTGACAGATGTGAGGTGCAGGAAGAGCAGACATGGGACGAGGGTGCCTGGCACACAAATGGCGTACCTTGCCTTCACAGTCACAGATTGGAGCACTGGCGCTTCCCATTACCACTACCTTTACTACCATCACCTACGATTGCAGGTCCCGCTGTGATGCGGAGCTACTGCTACTACTCGTGCTCGTGCTCCTGCTCCTTATGCTGCTCCTGCTGCTGCTTCTGCCGTCGGAGGCATCGCAGGTGGCAGCAGCAGCAGTTGCAGCAGTCCTTCCAACAGTAGCAGCAGTGGTAGATGTAGTAGTAGTCGTCGTAGTGGTAGTAGTAGGCATCGTCGTCGTTGTCGAAGCAGCAACTGTGTTACGATGGCTGCTTGACGGTTCAGGTTCGTGTTGTTGCTGTTGCTGCTGCTGTTGCTGCTGCTGCTGCTGCTGCTGCTGTCGTTTTTGCCGTTGCCGTTGCCGTTGCTGCTGCTATTGATGCTGCTACTGCTGCTGCCATTCCTGCTGCTATTGCCATTGCTGCTGCTTATTATTGCGCTGCTGCTACTGCGCGGAGCGATCAACCAGACTCTTTAAAACAAGATGGCCGACCATATCATAAAGTAATCGTAACCTGCTTCTTGTCAGCCTTCATATCATCCTAGTGTACCGCCTGCAGTTTGTGGACGGATGCATCTGTTGAGCTTGAGGCGCAGCCGGAGCAGACGTGGGAAGAGGGCACATGGCATGCGAACGGCGTGCCTTGCTTTCAATACACTTGGGTTTTTAGAACGTTCTAACTCAGCTCTTGAAGTCTTGAGGATTCAGGATTAGTTGCTATTGTGGTGCGTGTTGTGCGAGCTGCCATAACAGCTAGCAGCACCTGGACTCCTGGACCATGGATGCTAAATCATACACCCTAAGGATCCATCTGATGAGCCGGCGGTGCAGGCAGAGCAGACATGGCAAGAGGGCACATGGTCCGAGAATAAAGCTCCTTGCCTTCATGATCCACAAGGTCTAAGGGAACTTAAGGAGGGTTGTTTTCGGTTTGCGGTTCAGGGTTGAGGGGGGTTTAGGATTTAGGATTGAGGGCTTAGGGTCTCGAGCACCGGGGTAACAGCAGGGATCCAGAATTGCACAAGGAAGCGGGACTATGGGCTGGGACGCAGCTTTGAGCTCAGATTTCCAAGGGATGCGCCGAGTTGTCTTTTTTTCGGTTGTGGGGAGCGATCGCCAGCGCAGGGTTTAGGCAAAGACCGAATCCAAGGATATCCATGGTATCCACGGATTGAAAAGTGTCTGGCGTCTGTATTAGGACCTTGCCTGTATGAAACTCCCGATAGTCGGGTTCTGACTCTAGTAGATATCGAGCCGCTTATCCCTAATACACTCTGTCCGAAGAAGAGGCTCGCTTACAGTCTCAGGACACGTTTGGAAAGCCTCGACATGCGATGCTTCGAACCCGGAATACCGGCAGCAGACTGCCTGCTTGAAGTCCTAGCATTGGCAGTAGTACGTAGTCGTTGTCGTAATGATGCAGCAGCACTAGCAGCAGTCGCCACATGGGAGCAATCGTACCAGTGTGAACCTGCAGAACGACGACGCTGTCTAATCCTTCCCGGCGGGGCGCAAGCGCATGGCAGACTCCGCCCATCCAGGATACTATAGAGTATAAACCTAAACCCTAAACCTTGAACCCTACACCCGAAACCATCCTGAACTCTAAGCCATAATTTAGCCCTAGAATGTGAGGGGAGGGAAGGCTTTTGGCTCCACCTTTTTCTCCCCGCAACCTTTAAAAGACTTTCTAAAGTTTCCCCTCGAGCGCTTAAAGAGCGGAGGGGAACTGAATTCACGAGCCTTGTTTACTCCCTCAAAGGATGGGGCAGGTCTGCCACCCCACTGACAAAGAGCTTAGATTTGTCGTTGTCCTGGAAAGGACGAAAGCTTTTCAACTAGCCATCGTGGTCCAAACAGTAGCTGAAGGACGTCAAGTATTCGGAGCGCAGGGTCGAATTCTTAGTGGCCAAAATCTGTGAATCCTATTGCGTCAAGCCCTGCACCCCTAAACTTGCGCAGCTTGCAAGATCCGCACGGGCGCTGCAGGTCTTCTCGAAAGCTATTGGGGTGGGATCCATTTGATAAGCCGAAACCCTTCTTTCATACACACTTAAGTTTAAGCATTACCACGAGTCGTTGTCGGAATTGGTCCACATGTTGCCTTAGTCTGTGGATCTGGTCAAGAACTGGTCCTCCTAATTTTGACACAGGGCCAGTTCCCGACCAGATTCGTGGACGAAGGCAAATCTTGCCTTTGTCTACGAATCGCGCCGAAACGAAGGGGACCAATTCCCGACCAGATTCGTTGACTAAGGCAAGTTTTGCCACCTGAACTAACAACACGGCTTTTCTGACTGGTTCTTCGTAGGGAATGGGGGAATGGATCCTTATGATAGTCCCCTATAGTAGTCCCAAGTACCCATTCCCCCATTCCTTACTAAGAACCACTCAGTTTTCTTCGGTGGAGCAGAAAGTGTCCGGGCAACGGCATGGACTGGCAAAATGGTGTTTCTTCCTCTGCAAACAGGCAGGACAGCATGGACTAACAACAACAGTTCCCCTTTTCGGGTAAGGAAGGGGCCGGGCCACTGCATGAACTAACAAGCTGTGCTTTTTTGGTGGAACAAGGAGAGTGCCGGACTAGCCAAAATGTGGAAGAGAAGGAAATGTTAATTCATGTTGCTTCACACCCACTATTGGATGAGAACTTGAATGTTCTTAATGCTATGGTATTCTTGGTTGCGTAGGTGGGTTGTTGTCTAGGTTCAAAAGACACAGTGCTAGGCTAGTGATTCTTTAGCCGAGCTAGTCATAAACCCTAAACTCAACCCTAAAAGACCAAACCCTAAAGCTCTTACTCGTAATCTCCTTGTCCCTAAAGCCCTACCCTAAACCCCAAACCATAAACCCTATAACCCTAAGCCGAAGCCCTACTTCGTAGCCCCTAAACAATGCATCGCCAGAGGCGCAGCCAGAGCAGACTTGGGACGACGGCTCATGGTCGAACAAGGCTCCCGGCCTGGAGTTGTAGGGGTTTAGGGTCTAGGGGTCTAGGGGTGTAGGGTTTAGGGTATATAGGGTTTAGGGTTTAGGGTATAGGGTTTAGGGTTTTGGGTTTAGGGTTGTGACAAGGGTTTAGGGTGTTGTAGTCGTAGGAACACCCTTGTGTATAGCCCTTTCGGAATCTCTGATTCAAGGTCCCTGTTTAGGTCCCAAAATTAGTACTGGTATGGCACCCATATAACAAGGAGCCTAACGCGGACCCTAATTTAGACAACTACCCATATACAAAAGCTGTACTGAACCCCCCAACCCTCTTGGTGAGATCCCTACATGTTGCACCTTACGAAACCCTACAGACACCGTCTAAGAACCCTAGTCTAATTATGAAGGCACATATAGAAACTCGAGGCCAGGGCTAAGACTGTTGGGGTGTAGCGCTTCGCGACGTCTCCCTTGTTCGCTGCTGCGGGGTGTAGGGCTTAGGAGTTTTCGGTTTAGGGTTTAGGATGAGTCAGATTAGTCTTGCGAAAAAACGCCGCAGCTGAGTGAGATGAGAACCCAAGGACTCGAGGCTGAACCCTGAAAAGCACTGTTCTCATCCGAGTTCTCGCATCAGGACGGAGGAGTGTAGAGGAGAGCCGGGACATTTGCAGCAGTAGAAGCGGAAGCAATCTTTGTTGACTTGTTTTTTTTTAAATTGCTGTTGCTGTAGTTGTTGCTGTTGCTGTTGTTGCTGCTGCAGCCACCGCCATGGTCTTACGTGCGCTTAAGAGGGAAAGCATCTCTAATCACAAGCCAAGACTACGACCTGGGTCCTATAGGGCATACGGAGCCGCGATTTCCAGCTGTGTTTGACCCTAAACCCTAAACCTGAATGAGAAAATCCCTCCAAATCCAGTCAAATACTCCATTGAAACCCCGAACCCCAGCCCCGATTTCCGTAAGTCATCGGAATTCCAGAACCCCCTAAACCCGTATGTTTTTAGACAAGCTATTTTTTTTGTGAAAACCTATGACTCCCAAAGGGTCCAAGCAAGGGTGTAGTGTATACTTTTGGGGCTTAAATGAAACCCCAAACCCTGTCATACTTGGACCCCTGTGGGACATTTTTGATGAGCCTGAGGCGCAGCAGGAGCAGACATGGGAAGAGAGCAGGTGGCCAGAGAAGAGGGTGCCTCGTTTTCCATTAGGGTTTAGGGTTTAGGGTTTGGTTTAGAGTGTAGGGTTTAGGGTTTAGGGTTTGGTTTAGAGTTTAGGGTTTAGGGTTTAGGGTTTAGCCCGCTGGCAAATTCCCAGACCCCCCCAAACCCACCCAAGACCCTAAACCTCAATCCCTGAACACCCCTAAACCCTGAACCCGGGGTTCTCTGCTGATCATGCTGTGGAAAAGGGGTCCCTTCAGAGATTCTGAAACCCTAAACCTTCCAGAATCTCTGGAGCCACGGGCCAAAGGAATCTCAGCACTGGCATGGCTGGCAGCCTAGCTCCCAGCCCAGTCAGCCATTTGCCTCTTGGCTGCTTAGATTTTGGGTCTCACAGATTGAGGGTCGAGGTCAGTTTAGGATTTTGGGGTTTCAGGGTTTGGGGTCCAAGGGTTTGGTGTTGGGGGCTTTATAGCCGTAGCGGAACGAAGCAAGTGGCTTCGGAGCCAAAAGACACCAACGACACTGCCTGCATGATGGCGTCATGACGTCATACCGAGTTATTCCAGGGTTAGGGCACTGGCAGGGCCCTAGCGAGTTTGTAAAAAACAGAGCTTTGCAGTGAACTGTTTCGAATCAGCAACACAAGCCCTGCCACGTTGCATGCCCGTACACCAGAAAGCATCGGGTGAAACCTTTCTCCCTCGGACATGGTTCTTTTTCCTTGCAGGACTTACGGGTGCTTATAAGGGAGAGTGCAGCTTGGAATAGAAGGACTGCTATGAGGGATGCTTTCGGCACTGTTAATGTAGGGACCTTAATAATTGGAATAGGGTTTTGGTGTGTATTATACTAGCACTATAATACGGAAACCCCAAGACAGTATAGGTAATCAGTTGGGGATTATGTAGGCCCCTCTATTACAGGGATCCACTGCTTCCGTGAAACCACACAGCCTAGGGTCTAGGGATCAGGGTGTAGGGTTTAGGGCAGCAAGAGCACGAGGTAGTCTAGAACGTATACTATATACTGCATGGTATACACAGTATACTGCATTCTATACCCTATACTACATACTAGTCATTTCTGCTATCTTATACATTGCATACTAAGTACTTTTTTTTATTAATACTATAATCCCATCCTATGTAACTCACCCCGCCATCTCAAGCGAGTCCGACGAAGTTGACAGGTTGCGAGACAGCCGGCATTGAAGTCGAATGTGCCTGCAGTACCATGGCTCATTACTTGCGGGTTTAGGGTTTAAGGTTTATGGCTTACTACTTCTACTAATAGCCATCATGGTTACCACTGTTACTCTTCCCGGCTATAGCGAAGTTGAGGGTTTGTGGTTTTGGAGTTGAGAGTTTAGGGTTTGGGCTTGAAGGTGGAAGGTTAGGGTTTTATTGTTCCCGAAGAAGCAAGGTCTGGCGACGACGATGACGACGATTACTACCATTACTGTTACAACTACCACTACTTGTACGTGGTGTCTTGTGGTGATGGAAGGAGCCGAGGACACGTCAGCAGGTGGAGTGGTAATGAAGTGGAAGTAGAAGTAGTAGTTGGATATGCGAGAGCTACCAAAGACGCAGCACGACATGCGAATGACAGTTTTCATGTTCAGGTCTGTTACCATAAAGTGTGCTTCATGATCGAGCGGAAAATCCGGTGGTTCCTGTAAGACGACCCGTCATGAACAGAGTTTCGTCTAATTCAGATTGCAAGTGGGACCCCGAAATCAGAACCGCCAACTTATGGTGGGTTGAATTCGAGGCCTGCCAACAGCGTTCAGGCTGGCAGCCCAGCCGATCGCACCCCGGTCCGGCAGCTGTCTCTTGGCAGCATTCTGAGTTTAGGGCTCGTGGTGGCAGCAATGGTAGCAGTTGCAGTAGCAGCAGCAGCAGCAGCAGCAGCAGCAGCAGCAGTAGCAGCAGCAATCGCAGCAGCAGAGGCAGAATCAGGAGAGACAGCAGCAGCAAAGCAGCAGAAGCAGGAATTACCAGTAGTAGTGGTCGCAGGTGTAGTCTAAGCCGTAGACGTCGACGCAGACGTAGTCTTAGTCGTGCGTGTCGGTAGTTTTATTGGTGCTGTTGCTCTAGCAGCAGGTGTAGTAGCAGCCATCAGTGACAAGAGACAAAGGATCATGCATTTCTGCTGCAGTACAAGTCGTCACCACTACCTGCACCTATCTCGTGTTGGTCGCGCTCTTCAAAAGGACTTTCTCGATGTACCCATTGGCTTCTCTACCTCGTTCTGCGTGCATTCGACAGTGGAGTTGCTTTTCCGACAAACCCCCAGAAAAGAATGCTGACGCCCAGAAGAGAAGGCTGATTGCGCGCAGCTCCATGTGTGGTACGGTACTTGCTTCGAGGCCTCCCAACAGCAAACGCCCTGGCAGCCGAGACACTCGCAGCCCAGTCAGCCATCTGCCTCCTGACAGCAAACTGACGAACGTTACCAGTGTAACGCGGTGCTGCACTGCATAGCCACTTGTGACAGACAACTCGCAGGAGAGAGTTTGTCGCAAGGAATTTGGGCAACACGGCGACGACAACAAGATGAAATGCATGCTTCATGACTTACGTATAGAATGCAAGAACTATGCAATATGTCGCCATACTGGTTCAAAAAGACTGCAGCATCCAAAAGACGTTGCCTTAGAGCCTTAGAGGTATGAGATGATTTTTTCTCGAGAGTATGTGTGTAGATTACATGTGTATACATATATATATATATACATGTGTGTGTGTGTATGTCTGTATGTATGTATGTATGTATGTATGTATGTATGTATATATATATATAACCGACAAAAATGCAATCTGATACGCACACACGAACACGGAGTCGAAAATGGCATGTCTAGTACGCAATATAGTCTATATAGTCCCTGTGTACGTTAACAAAGTTGAAAGCACCACAGCAAGAATGCCATGTAACAAACGCACTTGCACAGTCAGGGCGTAGGCCTTAGTTCTGTGCTTCCCGTTCAGATCTCTCTCTCTCTCCCTCCCTCTCTCTCTCTTTGTCTCTAAACCCTAAACCCTAAACCACAGCAACATGGCTTGCGAAACTGCCCGGCCAGATTTCCGCGGATTAGGATTTCAAGCTTACCCGAAACCAGTTTAGGGCCTTTGGGGTTTAGGGTATAGGGAGGAAGAAGCCCTCAGCCTTTAAGCTCATGTGCCCGAGATGTCAGAACTCGACGGCGACTTTCAGCCACCCGTGCATTCTAGCCTCAATCAAAAACCATCTGCGGCCTACACTTCCCTTCCCATTCTCTACCTTGGGCTTCACTCCATGCCGTGATGGTGCAAATGGTATTGTACGATTGAGCAACATCGAGGTTATCATATCATCATCCTTTTGTTGGGGGTTTAGGGGTTTAAGGGTTTGGGGTTTAGGGCTTAGGAGTTTAGGGCTTAGGGTTCAGGGTTTAGGAGTTTAGGGTTTAAGGTTTTGGGTTAAGGCTTTCGGCTTTAGGCCTTTGGGCTTAGGATTTCGGTTTCAGCCTAAGGGTGTTACCAGGGTTACTGTAGCGGCTACTACAAGGGTTGCTATGAGAGTGCGATGCCCAGCCGTATTTCAACGATTGATTCGGAGAATCAGGCAAGGTACTGTAGGGCCGGAGTGTCTACATTAGGGTTTAAGGTTTAAGGGTTTTTGCTTTAAGGGAGATCATGGTATACTTACAAAGGGACTTTAAGGGCTTGTTTTGGACCCGCATTGTATGGCTTTCCGAAGGTGACGCAACCATGGTCTTCAAGAGAGTCTAGCAGTTTCGAGTGCAAGAGCTGCGCCCTAAACCCTAAACTCCCTAAACCCCTCAACCGCCGGCCCGCGCGCCTGAGCCTCATCATCATCGTCACGGTCATCAGCATCGTCAGGAACATCGCGATCAGATGCACCATCATCATCATCACCATCATCAAGATGCAGGCCGTCAACTTGTTGGCTAGCACCGTACGCAGCAGCAGCAAAACAATATCGCCATAGTTCCTCGTCAGTCTCATCGTCGTCATCGTTGCCGTTACGCCGCGCATCTCAAGATCCTCACCTTTTGAACATGATCTCAATGACATAAACAGTATCAGGTAGCCCTAACACTCCGCCCAAGAGTCCAGCCCGGCTTCTTTGTTCCCTGTCTCATCTCCTGTAGCCCACAAAACCGCTGAAACAACATGAGCGCTGGCTCGATCAAGTTTTCAAAAGCTGGCCTTTTCATTGAACACTAGGGCCCATTGGGATTCAGGGTTCAGGTTTAAACTGGCGTTCCTTACAATTATAAACCGCCTCTAAACAGCTGTACAAGTCTTCAGGCTGCAAGCCGCGCGGCTTCGAAGTCCTATGTGACCGCTGCAAGCTGGCTTATTTCGGGTTCGGGTTTAGGGTATTGTGTTCTATGGTGATTACATGTATATAATTAATGTGTATACTATGCTATTCTTCTGACAACTCCTTTGTGAGTGAGCTCCCTATGATAGTTACCTTTGCGGCTATTGGCTTTGATGCTGTTATGATCCTGGTAACTGCTTTTTTCCCGTGACAAAGAGGATTACGCGCGCAAGAACAGGATTCACGAAATCGACAGTCGTGATTTGCAGTTCTAACTCATTATCAGATGAAACTGTCTGTCAGCCTCCATTTTACCAGTCGTAGTACTAGTAGTAGTGGTCTGCCCAATGCTATTGCGGACAGATGACAGCAGTGGTCCCCTGGTGGCAGCCGATACAAGCAACAAGGATGTAAACCACCGCTACTTTTTGAATTTTCGACATAGTTGATCGTGACTTTGTTGGCAGCACAACCCTATGTCCTAAACTACAAGCCTGTCGCGAGGCCGCAGTGTGTTATGAATGGATCTCCGGAGAATCAGGGTTAATTCTATGAGATCCTATGTAATCGAACATGTCCCAAAATTCAGTTCTGACTGCAAATAGGCCTCTCTGTAGTTGCTGATCAACCCAAGTCAACTCGACTTGGGGTTGAAGGCCCAGCAGCAGCATGCGCAATGGCAGCCCAGCCAGTCGCAGCCCAGTCAGCCTTCTGCCTCCTGGCAGGGCGAGCTGGGACGACGGAAGCGAGAGTACGGTATGCTAGCCAAGGAAGAGATGTAATAGCCTCAACCTGTACGAAAGTATACGGAGCGAAAGAGTGAAAGATGGGTATTCGCACAAGCAAGGGGAATGACCAAGTAGAACGAAAGATTGCGCAATATCTTTACCTGCACACATAACCCGACATGCACACATGTATTCGCGCGTGTGTGGGTTTGCGTATGCATGCGTGGATCGCTGGATGGATGGATGGATGGATGGATAGATGTACATATGTATTTATGTGTCTGTCTTGGTGTATGCA